ACATGGATCCATGGCTTAGTGTATGGCTAGTAGTGGGCTGCTGTGCAAACAGCAATGATTTTACAAAAGGGAGAGAATTTCTTGGTCACATAGGCAACTGCCTGCAAAGGACCCAGTTTCATGGAGTTGGTTTCTTTTTACTTAGAAATGTCTGAGTATCCTTTGGAAGAACATCAGATTTTGAATTTGTAATTATAAGATAAACTTAATTATTATGCTTAACTGAATTTGTAAATTTTATTTTGTAAAGTAATCATGTGATATTGTTTTACACTGCTATGTGAACTGTTGAAGTTATGTAGCATTGAATGAGATATGGTATAATGTAGCATATTTAAATTATAATTTCATTTGCCTTGAAGGGCTGAGGAAGACTATGGAGAAACCTCAGGATGCTTTTTCCCAAACCAGGATTTAAACCAGGTACCTCCCCCCTGTGAATCAGAGACATTGTTAAGTGCCATTGAACTCAGAATGGTGAGTGATAAGGACACATCTTAATTGCCTCTCAGCAGTTGGCTGCAGTCACTTGAACTTAACCATCTGCCCGTGCTGGGAAGAGAAATGTTACTGAGTAGTTTATGATAACATTAGCTATGAAAGTCAGCACTTACAGCATACCACCTTTCTTCTTACAGTTAAATGTGATTTTGAGAACATTCTGTGGTAAAGCTACTTCCTGCATGCATACATGTACATGCAATTCCATGTGACATGAATGAAAACTCAGTCTAATGGGGCTGTATGCTCTTGGTCTTATGCTTTTAAGAAGTGTGGCTTGAATGCCCGAATTAAAAACAATGATCAAGCTTCTTTATCACTTATTTGTGGTCACTTTAGTGGTCGTTAGCAGCCAAATTTATTTCCATCCTGTACTTTCAATCAAAAATGTTTATTACATTGTGTAATTTCTGAAATGTTTAAGACACTGCAGTTCTGTAACTGCAGTCTTCTGTGATATTAGCTGTTGGCTAAGTCATGATCACAGTGGACACACATTAAGGAAATGTGCCTGGATCGTGTGCACTGAATGCTGCCATATAGCCAAAGCTTTATACAAAATTTGCTATGATGCTTGTGCCTTGGATACTGAGATTGGTCAGTGTTCTGGACGTTTTATAACAAACTCATATGTAACAGTTTTCAGAGTATGGCCTTTCAGATGTCTGTGTTACAGCAAGGTCAAATTGTGTGTATAGCTTTGTTAAAATTGTTAGATGCAATTATATAAGCCATAAGAGATTTCAAGCAACTGAATCTGTGGTACAGTTTCTTCATACAAAGTGAGCATTAAGGTATAAGATGAATAGGATTTGAGGTTTTCATGGCAATGAGTCTGAAGATGGTTGTCTTCTGGGCTGTAGGGCCACGTAGTCTAGTAGAAGTTTACCAATGTTGTTGCCTCCATCATCAGGGTGATGGGTGACATGAGATACCTCTTTTGAATCTTGAATAGGTTACTTTCTGTCCTAAAAGAGGTATTTCTTGGTTTACCTCAGTATCTCAAGGTAAAGCTAGGATGGTATATTTCAATATGCCATGACAGTCTTTTTTCAGATCTTTGCCTATTTACTGTTCATGATCATCTTTCCATGTCATTCACTGATGTGATAACTTGTGCAGATGAAACATTATTATTGTTAAGTAATCTATTAATAAATCAGTTAAGGGTCTTTTCATTACATAACAGTCATCATCTGATCAGTAAATTCCTCATTAATCATAATAGTCCATCACAAAAACCCACCATCTCAATCCAATTTACATCTCTGCGATCTGTTCTATATGGTACGTTTAAATCATATTCTTCCATCTGTGCCTATTTCTCCCAATTTGTCTCCAGAATGTTGTATTTTTTTTGTTCCTTGTGTGTATTACTTGTATGTCTGATTCCATCCATATTATACTTATCAATGATAGTAAGTGAAGAGTTCATGTTGCAAGCTCATTATTATGCCCTGTTCTTTCCTCTCTGTCAGGTCCAGCTGCCACAATCAGCAAATTGCTCTTATTCAGTCTGTGCTCTTTCAATAAGAGATCAGGTTCTGTACCCGTAAAACAAACAGAAAAATTCTAATTGTATGTATAAAATTAGGGCTCCCTAAAGTTTATAATGCATGCTACATACCTTGAATAAACGAAGGAGGTTCCATGCAGAGCAGGATAGCAGCAAGCCAGCAACCACGGCTGTGCTGGTGAGCCACATGGCTGCCATCACGCACACTGTCATTTCCACTTTAATGTTCTAATGTTTTATAACTGCCACTCAACATTTGTTATTTCTTGCTGATACAAAGCACTTGGCAGAATAGTCATACATAAACATGACTGATGCAGCTAAACTTATCTAACAACACTTTATCAAATGTGAACATCACTGTGAATGATTGATGAAGAAGGATGTGGAAGGACGTTCATTTTAAGTATTATTATCCCAGAATTTTTTTTGATGGCCTCCTTGACAGGAATGAAATAGTGAACAGTGTAGCTGAGCATTTCACACTCCTGCTTTATATTTGAGAGATGTCTGGTTTTTAAATACAAGGCCAAAAACCTATATTGATAGAGGATGTTTAATGGTTTTCTATAGTCCCTCCAGGCAAATTCTGATTTGTATGTTTGATTATGCCGTGAGATCTTACATGTACTTTTCAATTTGTTATTAATTTGTGATGTCATTCGATGCTATATAGTCTCAGCTGCTGACATTGTCATTAAATAATCCACAATTTAATAAGGGAATCAAAGCTAGGGCCTCCTGAATGTGAACCACTCAGCAGTAATGTTTAGTTCTGTTTGGCCCTGAAAAAATTAAGTTTTTATTGTGTTCTACAGGGAACACCATGACATCTACATGCTGTGCAAACAGAAAATTAGGGAACCACTGTTCTGAAATATCAGTAACAACTGATAACACTGCGTGATGTCATAACTTGGAAGAAAATGTGTGGAACTTTAAAAAAAAGTTTTCAAGAAAGGCAAGGAAGAAACTTGGATTACGATTTACTAGGTATGAATTTGATTTTTAAATAAAAGGGTGCAGTATGTCTTGCTTTCTTATGCGTCATGAATTGAGGTTTAGTTGTCTTTGGAGATAAAATGGGAATAGTAGCAACAGCTGACTGATTCTACATTGGGTGCATATCATTTTCATTTCTGACCTTATCCATTATTGTACATCGCTTGACCAACCGCAAGACCTAAATTTATGTCACCCGAATCCTAAGGGAAAATTACTATTAAGCTTCAGTAAAGAATAGGTGAATGTGTCTGTGCAAGCTGAAGGAAAAATGAGCCAGCATTAAAATTTGTCTTAAGGAAGAAGGGTGAGGGTGTGATATGGATTCATGTGGCCCTGAATAGGGGCTGATGACTGGCTTTGTTTGACTTAATCTAGAGCCATTTTATTCTTTCTCAATTCTCACATAAGTAATTCAAGGAGTAGAGTCTTTTGAGAAACTGGTGTCACTTGGTTAATCATGAATTTCCCGCCTTTTCTGGAGCTTGAAAGTTCATAATTGTTTCCATAACAGCCGACTACTTGACTCTATCCGCAGACGCAACATTTAGTATGGCCTCCGATACCAATATACCTTAAAATCCAATTAATAGTTACTAAAATTAAATGTGTGAATGGACACACCACATCATGAGTTCTTATGATGTAATTTGTGTGTTGAAGTTGTAGAAAGGACAAATGTGGGGTGATGTAATGTGACATGTTCATACCAAAATTCAAGAAAAGTTTTGTTAGTGGGGAACAGTCACAGGCGTGATACTGTCACATAGAAATCCAAGTGGAAAGAAGGAAGGAATTAAATTTATTGCTTGAGATAGTCACGTTCATTTGTGTCTAACTGATATGACTTTGTGTGCAGTAATTCTTGTGGGTCATATTTCTTCTTGTGCATTTTTATTGCTGCTTTGCGACAATAAGTATCGTAGTGCAATGTTGCAACATCAGAAATGTTGACTAAAGCGTGAGGCATCTGTGGAAGCTAAGTCTGTATAGTGACTTAGGAGGTGGATGACTTAAGTTTGATTCCCAGCAGAACAGAACTTTTCTGGTCACCACAACATCCACCCAGCCTCCTATCTCTTGGGTACTGGGGTGCCTCCTTGGGAGGTAAAACCACTGGCATGTCTGCATTATTGTTATCATTATTCTTTTATTCCTTATTTAATACTGTAAAGGCTGGTGGTGTTGATATGTACCATTTTCCTTATTTCTGTAAACACCGTTAACCAGTCGATCCTTGTAATGTTGAAGTGTGCTTTCTCTGAGGCAGAATCGGAAATCCCAAATTTTATTTAGGTGAACTTTCGGCTTCAAATGGTTAAGGAAAGATCACCTTTTATCATACTGTCCATGTGTTTGTGTTTGCAGCTGTTGGATAAGATTAGAGAATAAGTATGTGTGGGAAACTGGAAGGGTCAAAGATGTGGCCATGGGTGACTTTAAAGATGATATACTGAAACTTTGTAGTGTTAGGTAAAGATGTAATTGTCCCTTTTGCTGAACAAAGAAAACCTAAGCATGCCCTGGAATTTATAATGGTTGACACCCATGCAAATGGAGAGGTTTGTAGTGAGAGATATTGAAGTAGCTGAAAACACTCCCACAACGTGGTGTGTCCCATGTGTAGAGTTTAACATACTAAGTACAAATTAAAAAAAGTCCTGCTTATTTGATTAAAATTTGATATTATTTTTTATACTACATATTACTGTCAAACGTATAATGAAGTTCGTACGTAGCAAAAGGCGCAAGACCGTTAAGTTACCATCATACCATGGGAAATAAATGTTGCCTCATTTCAAGCTATTTGATTGATTATTATTTGATGAAATTGAGGAAGCCATATTCACTAAAGATGGCAGATTTGAGAATTTTTAGCATTGACCTCAGTTCTTTAAACTTAAAATAAAATCGTATCATGAAGTCTTGAATTGAAGTAAAACTTTAGAAAGTGTTACAAAATAATTAAAGATAAGGGAAAAGTGACATTTGTTACATGTATTTGTATGTGGTGGAGGTATGTAATATGGCTTGGGTTCCTCACCACGCAACGTAGAGTTTATTTACATTCCATGGATCCTTTTTAGGACTAAACCAAAGGATGTAAAACATGTCATTTCATACAATATACACAAACTTCAGGACTTTCGACACAAGTACAAGAAAGTTTTTCACATATCAATGTACATAAACTTCAGATTCTGCAATACAAGTATGAAAAATAATTTTACAAATTAATATATATAAACCTCAGAATTTTAAATAGAAATAGAATAGGGTGTTGAGGACATTTGGGCCTAGGAGAGAAGACGATGGGGCATGGAGAAAACTGCATAATGATGAACTTAAAGATCTGTACTCCCCCAATATTGTCAGGGCGATTAAGTAGAGAATGAGATGGGCAGGGCATGTATTGAGAATGGATGGGACAAGAGGTATGCACCGGGTATTGGTTGGGAAGCCTGGGGGTAAAAGATAGCTGGGGAGATGTAGATGGGAGGATAATCTCAGGCAGGATCTATGGGAAATAGGAGTTGAAGGAGACTGGATTTTGTTGGCCCTGGATGGTCCATTGGAGGGTTCTGGTTAATTCGGTGATGAAACTTCAGGTTCTGTAAGCCATCTAGTTAGTTTATCCTTTATGTATATACAAGCCCATATAAAACAAAGATAAAACTTTATGCCATGTATAATGCCACCTGAAAATGTATACAAGTATATGTTTAAAACTGGAAATACACTTACTGAGCGCTTTTATAATCGTCATTTTGTGGTATAGTGTTTTAGGGAAATATTACAATGTGGTATAACCTCAGCAGGTTATATGTCGTAAACTTAACCCCCAACTAAAAGAGGCACTGTTTTAACACAGCTGTGTTATCTCAAAATCCGAAAATACGTAATTACGTCAGCATTGTCACGGCATACTTAACGCTAATGCATGATCCAACAGTATGTAAAATATGAACACTATTCACAGCTTGCGTTTATTTAGGTTTGCAATTTGACGGAAGGAAAAAGTACACTAATTTAATCTCTTGTTGGTTGTATTACGGAACTGAGAAACGTACGTTTCTGTGCACATACTTCAGTGAGTACAAACTCTGAACATTTAGTGCGATTTCAGGTTATAAAGTCCGTGTGAACCAGTTACCCGTATTATTTTAGTGCATGATACGTAGTGATCAGCTAGATTGTTGTATGTAATGTAGGTATGATATGTTTTAGACATGTTATTAATTATATCGTACGTAATATGTTTGGCCCTTTCTTCCCCTGTTGCCATCTTAGTTTAAGTACATGGTTCATTGACCTGAGTAATGATAATTAAGTGCCTCATTATTTTTACCCGAAATACGTAGAGCCACTCAACAGGTGCATTATTATTGATGTAATGTCAATTAAAGCAGTATAACCTAAGACTAGTACTAGTTAGGCATCAGTAAATCTGTATTGTACCCACCTTTATACCTACCTTCACATCCAAGTCAGCTGTTGATTATCATTGAAATTCTGATTCTGTGCAGCACATGGATATGGATGTGAATATCAAAGTGGAACCGAGATCAGACGATGAGGCTGAATCAATAGCTTCAGAGAATGAAGATGATACAAAACAGGAGGGCAAGATGGGAACATTTACATTTGTTTCTGTGAAGCAAGAAGCAGTGAGTAATAGCAGTGTTACTTGTTATTAAAATTATGTCCTGTTGTTTGTTCTGCTGTTGATAAGCACTGCTGTTTCTTATTAGAGGACTTCTGTCAAAATCATGGATGAGGGAGAGATTTTTTTCTTCTTCTTTGGAACCATGACCACACTGAACCTCCTGTGGTACCAAGGAGTAAAGCAACAAAGTGTGGAATTATCCACTCACTTTTATTTAATGACTATGTTGGGTCTTCATATCATGTTGCTATGCCATCAGCATGAAGCACAGTGATAACTTCACAGTTTTAATTTTCTGTTTCCCCTCTATCATGCTCCAAGCACACTGGAAAAAAATGGTTTATAATGGCTTAATGTATGCTTTGTATAATAAATTGGACATCTAAATAAGTTGCCTCTTAGGTCTTTCTTCAATCACAGTAGCCATTTGTTAATTTAATTTCTTTTACACTAGGAAGATACCTGGGATTTGAGTAGAGTTAAAAAGGAGTTTAAGGATGAAGGTATGACAATAGAGGAACCTGAAGTGTGTCTGGAAAGGTGAGTATATGTGTTCAGCAATTAAAATTTTTTGAGATAGATACTTCTTCATCAGTCGGCGAGTCTTTCTAAAATTTAAAAAAATTCCCTGTTGAATATGTATTTCATAGTGAATACTGAAAAATTCAAGGAACCAAGACTGGTATATCTAAACAAATTATCACTTTCTGTTAACTTACAGTGAAGATAATGTGATTTCAATACAAGAAGATGGTGTAATTGCTGCCTCTACAGAATTGGACACATTTAACATCCACCATGCTTACACTACATCTGATTATATCTCTACTGGCGTTAATACAGTATTCCGTTCTGGCGAAAAGTTGTATGTGTGTGAAATATGTGGCCAAGAATTTGTACGCAGAGCCGAACTGTATAAGCACACCCACTCACATAATGGAGAGAGGCCATACATATGTGACGTTTGCAAAAAGAATTTCTCAAAGAAGGCCACCCTTAAGGAACATTACCGTATCCACACCGGTGAAAAACCTTTCACATGTGAAATATGCAGTAAGAGTTTTTCAAAAAGTGGGAATCTTTCGAAACATAGACGTACTCACACTGGAGAAAAGTCATATACGTGTAAGTTGTGTAATAATCATTTCACAGATAAATCAGTTCTTATACAACATTCATGTTATCAATCGGATCAGATGCCATTTAACTGTGACATATGCAAGAAGGGCTTCAGAGAAAGCAGATACCTTACAAAGCATCGGCGTAGACATACAGGAGACAAACCGTATGGATGTGATGTATGTCATAAAAAGTTTTCTGATAAAGGATTCTTGAAAAAGCACTATCGTATTCACACGGGTGAGAAGCCATTCAAATGTGATTTATGTAATAAAGAATTCACCCAGAGTGGTAATCTTTCGACGCACAGACGAAGTCACACTGGGGAGAAGCCATTTGGTTGTGACATCTGTGGTAAGAAATTTTCTATGAAACAGAAGTTGAAAAAGCATTATCGTATCCATACAAGAGACAAGGCAAGCAAGGCAGTAATGGAGGAAAAACGCTAACTTTATGAAATATAGTGTACGTGAAGGTATTTGAAACATGAATACTATGACTGATGCCTCACTTTTTTAATTTTTTTCCAGTTTGTGCACAAACAATATGGGGATCATTTTTTCGTCTGTGTTGATATTTTTTCAACTTATCAGTGACTGAAACTGCAGAGGAAGAAAATCTTACTAAGTAGGAGATTGGAGAGAGGTTTTTCAAGCTGGGGAAAAAATATATCTCTTGCATTATTCCATAAGCATTGAAATACTGCACATGAAATTTAATTCTGGTGGTGTATTCACATTCACTGACAGCTAATTTATTGAGCTGTTTTTAAATCCAGGATAGCCTTTATTTCCAGGAGCTGTGGTTTGTTTTTATTGAACAGATTTTATGCTGTATCTCACATTTTGTTCATTGATGAGAAGTGTTTGAATTTTTCGGATCCTTTTGTGTCTTTTGACTTAGATGATTCCATTTATCCTTTTCATATTTAAAAATACAAAAATGTTATTTCTATAAATACGTATATATTATTACCTCATACATTAATTGAAATAACTTATTTATTAGGATGCAGATTTGTGGGTGATGTACCATAATACTGGTTAATATTAGGACACTGATTGTGGTAGTAAGATTTATAGTTTTTCCGGAATTATTATCCTGATGCTTATTTGCATTTCATATTTATTTTGTGTAAAATGATCATTTATGTATATTTTCTCTCATGTGCTTTAGAAATTATAATTTTTTTTAAATTCAGTGCAACGAGAAGGAAAGAAATATGTGATATTAATGAACTGTAGATAGCTAATATTTTGGACTACAGATATGGTAGTAGATCTTCTGAAAAGTTAACACAATTAATGGTTTCTTTATGTACACACAAAATACCTATAATAATGTTGTTTCTGTATAAGTCCTCATACAAGAAAATGCCATTAATTAAGACTTGAAAGTGTTCACATTTATAGTCAAAGTACGTCACATACTATTGAGATTATATTCTTTAATTTTGTAATTTTAGTGTGTTATGTTTTCTTTCTCTGACTTAAGAGAGAAATTATTTCTGAAATTCTATTCAGAATATGCAATGCTTATAATGTGAGATATAGAACAGGACAATTTTTATTATAATCACAGCAGAAATATGTTTATGAAATATATGAATTAGATTACAGGCTGCTAACTGTTGAATGTGAGATACTGCTTTTGATAGATATGTTTAAGCTGATGATGCATGCATGATATTAAGGAAAATTCCTGTATGGATTTGAAATTGGAGGAGAATGTTTTTTCACTGATGCACATGTTTGAAGGGGTTATATAGTTTAATAATAATTTATTTTATGGCATATCTGACAACATGTATATATTCAATAAAAAAATGAAATGATTGAAAACAATTAAAATCTGATAAAATTTCATTGCATAAAGCAAGTACCTTCAGCTAGCTGCCATGTTTCCTGGAGAATGGAGAATGTAGAGGTGAAATGAGAGAAATAATGGTTTTTGGTCCATTATTGATACTGCAAAGAGTTAAGATGCTGTGCTTGTTTAATTTAGATAAGTGATGATTGAGGAATATTACAACTGGAACAACACATAGAAATTAAACAGACCTGTGAGAGTGATTGTGCAGTTAAAGTATTTTTGTATATGATCTGTGCTTTTAGATTTTTTTTATTTTTGTGCATTTTTAACTCCTCTATTAATCATCACATTGACATTAATTGTATTTATTAAATCATTTTCTTTCATTTTACATGTCTTCCACCTAGTGAACTGTGAAAAAATATAGCTGCAAATGTCTGTATGCTTCATGCAGAAAATAAAGTAATAATATATATAAAATTGTTCCTAAGTGTTATGTACTGTTAAATTCATTCTAGTATCATGCTCCTTGACATTCACCTCAGCCAATATGGTACCATTTTCTTACACTGATGCAAGGGTGATTAATAATTTGATAAAATATAACTTCAAAAGAAATTATGTATTTGTATTGTGCTTGCCACATTAACTACAAATTATGAAGTACAGAAGAGTATATTTTTTATTATTAGGTAAGATAACATAGCTCATAGGTTATTTGATAACAATGTATGAAATACTGAGGGGCCATTGAGGAGTGAATGTGTTTATATATGATTAATGTAAATGAAATTACAAAAAAAATGGTGTCATCCTACTATACTGTTCAAGAAAACGAGACAAATTAGAATGGCTTCTGTCACTGACAGTGTAATTAGATACATTTCTCATTGACACAATGAAAACATTTAATTTTTAAAGTGTTATATTGTTAATTGAATTTTGGAACAATGCCAAAAACTCCTAAAATATTGAAGAACATAAAATAAACATTAATTTATATATAAATTTGTAAATCTGTTATCTTCACATTGCATTCCAAATTTTGACTAGAAGTGCAGAAGGACGATACGTGTAGCCTTCGTCATATTTGTTATGTACCTGTCACTTTAATCTATGTTTGCAATCTCGAGAAGTTTTTTCTATTCCTTGTAAAGCTTATGTGTTCTTTCCGTATGTAAGTTTTGTGTTTGTAATTTCTGTTCGCTATGTTTGCGAGCGTGTCTCGGGGAAGATGGCTCTGGTCATGTTACTCAGGATTTATTTCAATTTGGTTTGGTGATATGTGTTGTCGATTTCTCGAGTTTGCTGGCTGCAAGTGGTTTATGTTAACGGTATTTTCAGGTTGTGTTTAATATTATTCATCCTGTGTGAACCGCAGAAATCAGCGACCAGTGACATCTCAATATCGGTGTCTCAGAAATTGTGTTGTGTGAACACGTTTCAGATCTGATGGAAATGTGGCTTGAAAATTAAAAAGGTTCCATTTGAAAAATTAGAAGGTAGCCTAGGCAACTTCACAACAACGATTCCAGTGCTAATATTTTACCAGTTAATGTATACCCCATTATCCTCTGCTTACATTTATTTTAAACATTTTTTGTACGTGTTAAAATAAGAGTTATTGAAAGTCAGAGAGAGGTTTGACACCCGTATTTTACGCAAGTATGCGAACCGTTGGTTGCTGATAGGCCTACTACTGTTTCACGAATTTGCAGGTTATAGGAGCCTTGCATTTTTATTTCTGTTGCGCCCTCTTCAATTTACATGAATTTTTGGTACATATATAGTATTTCACGTTGTATAAATTGTCCAATTGGTGCGTTCCATACACATAGTTTTTCTTTAAATAAAATTCTGGACATAAATTGTGGCAAGTAAGTAATAAATTACAGAAATACTTGGTGTGGTTATGAACATTGCTGCTGTTATATTGGGTTTACTGTAAATTTCCATGCATGCATATAAATGCATATTGTGGAAAGTGAGAAGCTTAATTTTAATAACATGAAAACATTCAATTGCTTTCAGGTACAGAAAACAAAATTTCAGCAGCTGTTATTAACATCCCCACGCCACCATTTTTGCTTGTGGCATGTTATTCTGCCCTTGTAATGTTAATATTCTTTTCTATAAAATTATTCAGCAGATTACATATATAGTCTATATTTGATGAGTTGTATGTAAATTTAGTATTCTTGTGACATAACGAAAGAATGTTCTCTGAAAATGATAGTTGCTTGTGAGTCATTAAAACTTTGCTTTTTCAGAATTGGCGTGTCTGCGCTAGGTTATGCTGATTGAAGACTGTGTGTGGAATGCCTGAGCTTTACAACTGGCTAATCTGAGCATTAAAAAGTGATATAAGGTTAGTACTATAGGTAACAGTTTGTAGGTATTACTTTGAAGTTATAGTTTTTTATCAAGAGATATTTCTGTTCTTATAAATTTTTACTGATACACTAACCCCCTTGCAATGCTGAGGTCAAGAGAGATTAGGAGCTATACCTCTACTCCCCCCAAATGATGTACATGGCGTGTAGTGGGACAGCTTTACTTGTCATAATATTCAGGTTCCTCAGTTTATGTGACTACATAATTTTTCCACATTCAGTTTGCTAAAGGAATAATGTGAGTTAAGAGTTTGACTTACAATTTATTTACATTCCATATATCCTGCTTTGTGCTATCCCAAAGGATGTAGAATATGGTCATAATAAAAGTACAGAACATATTTCACATATAGATATACATAAAGCTTAAGTGTTGCCAACAGAGATAAAATTATCTATAGAGTAGAGTAAAGCTGCCCCACTATACACCATATAGGCACTTCAGGGGAGTGGAGGTATAGCTCCTTACTCATTCTTAACCTCAGCTATAGATAGTGGTTAGCATCACGTCCCAGCCACATTTTACCCCTGGGACAGGAGGCTGGGTGGGCCCCAGAACCTGTCTGGGTGCATGGGCTAGCAGAAAACTCTTCTTCCCCCATTGGGGATCGAGCTACCTGGTTCAAATCTTTTAATGCAGGCTTGAGCAGTTTTTTTTCTTTGGTGTTATAAGCTTTTAATTGTAGGTGGAAGATTATTGAATAACTTGATACCTGTATAGTATATTCCTTTTTGATATTTGAGGTTAGTATTTTTCATGTGAAGGTTATATTTACATGTTATGTTTAAATTTTGTGCATTTGTATTTCTTTTAAATACGTCCAAGTTTTCCGCCACAAATGATAGTAAGGAGAATATGCATTTACTTGCAGGAGGAAGTATAGTAAATTCCTGAAATAATATTATACAAGAGACTTTGCTTTAAGCACCTGTCATTATTCTAATAATTTTCTTTTGGATGTAAAATACTTTATTACTGCCTGTTAAATTTCCCCAGAACTTTAATCTATATGGTAGTACAGAGTGGAAGTATGGAAAGTAAATTAATTTTAAAGTATCTTATTTTCATGAGTGGTACAGCTGTCCTCATGTCAGAGCATGCAGAGTTCAGTGTGGGAATAATATATTCAGAGTGTTTCTTCCAATTGAAGTTACTGTCAATTTGAAGTCCGTTGTAATTTCTTTGCTTCTACTACCTCAGTTAAACCAGGGCCTGTATTGTTCTTAGTAGGAATGTTTATATAGCTTCTTTTATCAAAATTCAGTACCGGTTTGTTAGCTTTAAACCTTTTGTTTACGTTGCCAAGGACATTTATGATATTTTGAAGATAATGAAATTCTGGATGTGTATTAATGAACCTTGTATCATCAGCAAAGAGAATATCTGTCAATTGACAGTTTACAGTTGCATGCAAGTTTTTAATTTCGAACATTTTCGGACATATGTAATTTTCTTAGGCCTGTAGTCAATTTTGGAAATTTTCGTATATATTTTTTTTATTTTAAAAGTTTTGTGATTTTGAAAATTTGTTCAGTTTCGAACTTTTTCAAAACCTATTATTTTTTTATATTTTTCGCCAATTTTTGAAATTTTTGTGTTATAAATGCTGCAGTGTCCACTAAAACAGTAATTTGGATTTCTTTCGACAGGAACAGGGATCAGTATTATATAACTTTGTCACAGCCTATTTGATAATATCGCACTGTAATGATCAAGGATGTTGTGATGAAGGTTAATGGATGTTATGTATTTTCGTTTATCCGTAGGAAATTAATATTTGTTGATTGTTAAAACTATAAATGACAAGGGTTTTTAAAATCCGGAGATGAAAATATTAAGCATGACAGAAACGGAAAGTTATTTATATTCTTATATATATTCGGGTAATGTATGTATTCTTGTTAAGGAGATTTGGAGATAAGTTCTCCAGTGGTATTTGTATAGTGTTTCTGACATATCAAAAAAGTAACAGTTAAGTACATTCTTCAGTGGCCTTTTAACCTCTTTAGGTTTAGCAAAATGACAGATATTACAGTATGAAATTATGGGACTTTATGGTTTGCATATCAGCAAATTGAATTTTGACATGCCAGCAAATTTATGGAGTTTCTTTTATGTGATAAGCTGTGTGCAAGAACCATATAGTAGTGTACAGCAACTAAATTCAGTTACTAGTTGCATATAGCAAAGAAAACAGTCTGTCTAGGTGCACGTACCCGTTCTTAATTATATTTGTGCCCAGTTATGTTGTGGCAGTTTGTGCTGATTTCATCTCATTTTCATAAAATGGCTGCAAATTTGGTGACAACATGTCTTCTGTTGCCTTCCATAGTGTTTGATGTACCAGATACATTAACATAAAATATTAGAATATATATTAAAAGTTACAGTCACTCACAATTATAATAATAAAATAATATTAAAAGATTTAAAACATCATTTAAATACACTACTAGTTTTGGCTACATTCAGCCATCGACGGGTGTATGCAGTATAAAATATTAGAATAAGTGAATTGGTATTTTGCATAGTATTATATGTTTTCACTTTTTGGGCTATCTGTAGATTGATACATTACTATAAGCCCACTTTTATTGTTGTACATGTAGCATTTCCTATGAAATGAACATTCTGAGTGCAGCTTATATTATATACCATCATGTGACTTATTTAACTTCATATTTTTCTTTCTTTTTTCAAGAATTATTCTTTGCTCACATGTTCTCTTAACAAAGGGAAGGAGTCTCCTGATGATCCTATCAGTGTCTGTTATCGAACATTGATGCTATATAGTTTGAGTTTTTGACTGTTTCATTAAAGCCACTGAGACTGCTCTTCTCAGAGCCTCATATGTTTGTTTTTCCTATTGACCAAATATAATATTTTGTTTTATGAAACTCTGTATTCTTTTCAGTCTCTTTCGTAGCACTGGAAATAATTTATTTGTAAAGTTCAGAAGTGAGATTTGTGAAGCACTCATATTCAGATACTGTACCATATGTTTATGTTACTAGTGTTCAAAATTTACATTTTACGTGTCTGTAAAGAAGTCAGAAACTCATATACTATTCTGTGAAGTATTTATCTGTTTTACCTTCAGAGGTTAGGTTAGCTGATTGAGACTGAAAGATTGGACTTGTAGGACAAACCAATACATTATGGATGTAATTAAAGAAGAATGTGACTCAGATATTGATTCTCGGCCAACATCTTCGCCAAGTGAGGATCAAGACACTACTGCAAAAATGGAAGATGTGTTAGAACCATTTACATTTGTTGCAGTGAAACAGGAAGTGGTAAGTATTTATAATTTTGCGTAACCACCATTGTGAAGAATTAGAAATACTTATAGTAAATAGATTAATGGAATAGATACATCTTTCAGTATTTATAAGAATATTTTCATTGCAAAACCATGTGAAAGATTGTCCCTTGTGACATGGATGTAGATATGGAGGAATAATGTTAAAATAAATATTATAAAAATATAATGTGGGAATGTGAATGGTAGAGGGGTCAATATGTGTAATGGTGAATCTTTTATAGAGTTTGTAAACTGATGTGGTTTCTGTTCTAGGAAGAGTCTTGGGATGACTGTCAAGACGATCAACATAAAAATGAAGTCACATTAGATGAACATGAAGTTGGTCCTGAGAAGTAAGTATGTATAGTGTGTTAATATGTAAACACAAAAAAGTATGAAACTTTGTTTATGGATTATGTCCATTGGATAGGTAGTTCTACTACCTTCTCTGAGTGACAGGAGGACAAAAGCTTATGCCTCTGGTTCAGTCAGTCATTCCAGGTTTATGATTAGCTTCACCAGCTGCTTAAGACAGTCCATTACATTATAAAGTCAGCAACAGAAAATTTGTACAAACTTCAGCTGTCATACTTGCTACTTTTGAACACTTAAATAGAACTACCTGAGGATGATAATTTAAGGTTGAAATATGTAGTAGATTGTTAACAAACATTGAAACTATAATCAAATATTGTTGTGTAGATGCACTGTCAACCAAACGATTAACACACAGCAGGATGTATGTCTTAAAAAAGTGATTAGGGTTTTGTCCTATTTGTCACTTGAAGATGGAAGTACAACCAACATCTGAAATTTTATAGTTTTAAAAACATCTAAGCAATGGATATAGTCCAAAAATGAATTCTACACAATGTGTCACACTGTCATCAGAATCCTTCAAACTTTAACAAGATGGTATCCAGAATTTATGATTATGTTCTGATAAAAGGTTAACAGAGTTGAGATTTAGGTTCCTACAGTGGCAAGTATGAAGGTGGCTGGCTTCTAGATTCTTATCCTGTGAGGACTAGTACAAGTTTACTGATATTGCTGAGAGGTGCTTGCATTCCCCATCATAAGGACAATGAGTATGTCATGTATAAGGGATTAACTGATTGCTTGTGCACAGCTTGTCACCCTGATGATGCAGGCAAGCACTTCTGAAATATCCGTTTAACTTCTACTAGACTACACGGTACAACAACATAGCAGACAGCAATCTTCATTCACCAGGTTGTCACATTACAACTCATCACTATTAACAGAATGGCTATCATTATTTTGTAGTGTGGATCACATGGCTGTGATACAGGAAGACACTGTAGCTGGAGGCAGTTCATCTCAGCTGCTTCCAAGTCCTTTCAATGTACCTAAGGGCACTAGCTTCCTAAGCAACATTTTAATATCAGAATACAGGAGAAATATGAAGACTGGTGTAAAATTATACAAGTATTTAATAACGGATAAGGGAGAGAAACGTTACTTTTGTGAACTTTGTGGAAGAACCTATTTACGTGTTGGAGACCTTGTGAAACATGGACGCACCCATTCTGGAGAGAAGCCATATAGTTGTGACATTTGTAACAAGTGTTTCTCAAAAAAAGACGTTCTCAGAGAACATTATCGTACCCACTCTGGAGTGAAACCGTACAAATGCGACCTATGCAGCAAATGTTTTACTAAAAGTGGGAATCTTGCTATACACCGCCTGATTCACACGGGAGAGAAGACGTACACTTGCGATATATGTAACAAGAAATTCCTGTTGAAAGGTGTTTTGAAGCTTCATTATCGTATTCACACCGGAGAGAAGCCATACACGTGTGATATATGTAACAAAGCATTCTCTAGAAGTGGACATCTTGCCTCTCATCAGCAGATTCATAACAAAGAAAAACAGTATATTTGCAAAGTTTGTAACAAAGAGTTTTCTCAAAAACATAATTTACAGAGACATTGCCGCACACATATGGCAAATGGGTTAGGAAGCTCTGCAACAGGAAATGAATAATTCAGAGCTCTGTTTTGGTAGTTGTGATCTTTCCAGTAATATTGTTTCATCATGGTAATGATCACTCCAGTTTTCTTTTTTTAATATCTGAATGACCATCAGCTCTTCAAGGCATTTTTGTTTTTGGTGTAATGAACTTGATTTGGAATGAAATGTAAATTCTCATTGGGTTAAGGAACATTGGAATGAGTGTTGGTTTGGATAACAAATAAGTGAGGGAAGCCATACATGATTACAATACCTTCAATTGACTTACTTTTTTCTTCCCCATTGTATGTGGTATGGATTGTGGAAAAAGTGTGTAAATATTTTATTTGTTTATAGCAACAAATGATTCACTATGAGATTAGAACGTTATAAACGATACATATGTTTCTTTTACTTAGGTTTTTCAGGAAAAAGCCATATCAACTGTTTTATTGTTTGCAGCTGAATTCTGTTGTCACCTGAAATTACTGTCTGATCTGGTGTTACCCTACCAATTTATTACTTCATTGTTTTAAAGAACTACATTTCATTGTGTTAGGTGAAGCAAAGTGTACACCACTGTTGTACAAGTGCATTGTGATACAGTTTTCCTTTCAGAAAATGACATTTATATTATGTGAGATTTGATGTTTTCATGGCAGTGAAGGTGTCAACAGTGGTCTTCTGTATTGTGACATTGTGTCATTCCGTAGATGGTTATAGACTTCTTAAAGGAATTTAGTGCCTCCAGTTTTGACTTCCCTGAAGATGGAGGTAGCATTACTGTGGCTGACTGAATATGATACATGCCGACAGCAAGAACTCATCCTCTTGATGATTAGAATGCAGACACAGGCCACAGATCTCTGGACAGAGCATTGTAATTATATATTGTAATGTGTTTTGATGATGAAGGTCTTGAGTATAAGAAGACTACTCAAGTCACTTTATAAGCTAATTTTTTGTATGAGTGTGGTAATTTGTATTTTAATTAAATTAAGAGGACAAGTGTTTTACTATCAATATTAATGCAATATTATTGTATTCTTTCATCTCATAGTTAGAGCTGAAATGTAATAATGAATTTTAAGTAATGTTTTGCTTTTACATAAAGAAGAAACAAGTGGTGTGTGTAATGTTTGTTAGTTTTAAGACAAGAAGGTTGTTGTTTATATTCAGGGCTTGTTAGTGAATAATCATTAATAGGCTCTAAGAAAGAAATAACATTTAATTCAAGAAATATTGTGGATAATATTAAGAAGAAATTAAGTGTTTGCAATGGTGTACATCAGTGACAAATGTGAATTTACATCCCTTACTGTTGTTGGGCATTCCCTGAGTATTCATGTTCAGTCTGACTATAATTCAATTAAAATATTTAAATAAATATACAAAATACTTACAGCTGTGTATATGATATTTTATTTCATTTGCACAGGATTCTATTTTAATTTCTTGGAGTAGCATATCAGCTACTGGAGAAGATAATGTGTAATAAGACACATTACACTATGTTAAGTATATGAGGACACCAAATTAAAAAGTGTCAGCCATGTGCCATGATAACCTACTTCTGAGAAGTGTGATAACTGCCTCATCACTCCCTAGTCATGCAGAAGCCGTTCTGTAAAAATGTGGTAGTGTACTTAGAAAGTGAAGAGAATTACTTTGCATATTTCTTTTTCAGGACCTACATATTCTTATTTCTGTGATACTGTGTATTCAAACTGATAGTCATGTAGGTGGTATCAAACATTTCAGCAACTAAATAGCCTGTCAAATTCTGTACACAATCCTGTTCAATTAATTAGTTATGATGTTTTGTATATATTTCAGTATAAGATATACAGTGGTTCTCATTCAACTGCCAAAGTCAAATAATAATAATCTTTAAACTGGCTACTTTAGTGATCCCTTGATGAAACCATTTCTTAATCATGCCTGTAGATATGTTATTTTGGGCCCATTTTGCATGTAATCAAAAGCTATGTCACTTCTTATAATGTATATTTTTTTACATTACATAGTGCTACATATATCAGTGTAAATGTATAGAGACTAGGAATCCACTACACTAATAAATTGGCATCACATTATAAAAGCAATTTATTATTTGTATATAAAGTAGAGACGCACAGTTGGCAAGGAATTGCAGTGTGTGTGGCTGTTAGGCACTCGACAAATTCCTGTATTTGGCGTCTTGTTATAAGGAATGTTTAGTAATTAAATTATTATATATTCACATTCTTGAATATCCTTTTGGTTGTCTAATTAAAAATATAAGTGATTATGCCTTAAATAATTCAAAGTATAAGAATGTTAGTTTCAGGTTATAATTTGAAACAAAATTCTGCAACTCTTCACAGTTTCCAATTCTCTTAAGTCTTCAATCAATGTCATAGGCCTTACTTCATGCAAGAATTTTCTGTAACAAGAATCCCATCTTCTTTTTATCCTGCTGACATATTAATAAAACTAAATCCCTTATTTCACAGTTTCTGTTGGTTCTGGTGCACGATCTTTGAGCAACAGAAGTTCTGTCAAGTCAACTGACTGTAGTGCCATGTCCACACACTCGACATACAAACAAGGACCCTGCATATCAAAAAAAGAAAGAAAGAAAGAAAGGTGAGTTACTATATGTGTATTGAAAGTAGAAACACACAGACGATGCTGGGCTTTAAAATTTATAAATAATTCCTGAAACATTTATCGTCTGGTAGCAATTTTAAATATAAATGTAGTAATTGAAAGCATGTATGAGGTAAATGAGAAATACATACAAAATCTGATCTGAACTCATTGCAAGAAACCACATGAAAGATCAAGGTGTAAATGGGGTGGTCACATTTAAAATTGATGAAGGGATTAGGGAATAAAGTGGCAAACTGAACGGTGGAAATTAGTGATCAATGTGATGGAGCTTTAGATGGCATTGAACAGAGAACTGACTAGCCGAACAACAATTGTAATTAAGGAATAAGTTAGAATTGAACAGGTGACATGTAAACATAAAGCTGTCCCACTATACACCATGTAGGCGCTTGGGGGTAGAGGAGGTATAGCTCTTACTCATTCTCCACCTTGGCTCTAGATGGGGGTGAGCGGTCAGCATCACGCTCTAGCCGCACTTTACTCCCAGGTAAGGACCCCGGTACCCATTGGATAGGAGGCTGGGTGGGCCCCAGAACCAGTCTGGATGCAGAGGCTAGAGGAAAAATCCTCTGCCCCTGTCGGGGTTGAATCCTGGTTGTCCAGTCCGTAGCCAGTTACTATAGTGACTGAGCTACGCTGGCTCCTACAGGTGACATGTATCTTAACCAACTGTTTGAACTTTTATCTCCCAATATTAACATTTCTGGCATAATAGTCACATATACTACAGGTCAGACAGGCATGATTACACTGATATGTGCTTAGGTATAAGAAGTCGGGAAATGTACACTAGTGTAATAATGGTGCTACTTTTGTTATCTTGTTGACTAGATGATCTATTCATGAATGCTGTCTTGTAAGAAGTTATAAGAGGCTGTTTCATCTGTAAAAACATGCCCTTGACCTTTGTGAGCAGTGTCAGTAACATCAGAGTTGTCTGGGGTCTGTGGCCTTTGCATGGGCAGGGCATCCAATGCCTCTCGTCCAACTCAGGATTTCCCACATGGTTTCATGGTCACTGCCACATGTGGGAAGACACTATTGTTCGATCTCAACCAAAATTTTTTAATTTGTTAAACATTTTAGTAAAAATCTCCAGTATCAAATTTCATGAACATCCACTTGGTAGTTCTCAAGCCATTAAATATGGACAGATGAAGAGAGAAAGAGAGAGAGAGCCAGGTAAATGGACAGACATAGCAATGGTGATAGATGCATTTTTGCACATTCATTGTTCAACATGCATGAAAATTAATGGATGTACATCCATTAATTATAAATCAGGCAAGAAGACAGTGTGTTCATAAGCCATTTGGAGCTTATGCCTCCGACTGGGGTGGCTGAACTCACGTGTGCATTTGGCTGGAAAGTTGCCTTATTAAACATGACAGCATTATCCTTCACTGAGATGCCATAGCGCTTGCAATCACTTTCTGCTTGTTTATGTGTTTTGTAAAGTAATAAAGTCTGAAGCCTGCTTAGTGGAAATGTGAGATTATGACTGCTGTAGGCACACGACATTATCTGCAGTGCATGTCTGAAACAATAAGAAACCTTAAGCCAGAGATCAATTCTCCATACTGACAGTTTCCGTGGTTTTCATCAGTCTTAACAGCAATATATGTTACAATGGTTCCTTCAACATGCTATGACTACTTAACACAATGACCTTCCAAATTCATTATTAAAAAAAAAATTTCTCACCTCCTAACAAGTGGTAGTTGTTGAGCTGCAACACACTTTAAGAGAGGTGGAAGTTTTGGCAGCAGAGTACACAGACGTACGTAGTTACCAGACCACAGAGCCAGTGACATTGCAAATGCTGTCTTTACTGTTGGGTGCTGCCTGAAACAAAATGTCAGAAACATGGGCATTTATAGAGTTCAACTGTATGATTTATCCTTACGTTAGTCTATTGGAGAGGAAGCTTAGGTGTTTCAAATGTCGCCCTGCACCTTCAGTGAAACTAATGGGGAGTCATCTATTCTAGCTACAAAGCGCAAAGGTCAGTAAATTCCTATGTGAGGAATCCCCAGTCAGGGAATTTCCAAGCTACTCACAAAGTTATAATTCTGGTGAATGTGACAGTATTATTATGCTATGCATACATTTCCTTACTTGTTTATATAAACAGCAAAAGTGAAAAAAAGAAAGGATAAATAATAACCTATAACAAAGTCACAGAAGTGACATTACAAAATTTTATGTACAGCAGGGCTCAAAAATTTCCAGTTGGTTAACATGTCTCTGTCACTATTAATTTTCTGCTGAGGGCTTAATGTCTGTACACATTACTTTTAATAATTCAGTGCATTAATGGCCCAGGTACATTCATGTCAGATGAAGACTTCTTTTTCATGACTGATTTGTTCAAACATTGGACAAAACTTTTTTCACAAGTTTTTGGCTTGGCACTTCACCTTGAATCCGACCATGACGTGTCTGAAATTCTCTCCTTTCACAGGGCCAGTGTTTCATCTCAGCTGATCCTTATTTATTGAAACATATTAAAAATCTTGCCTCATTCTTATGTTTGTCTTTGTTTTTGTTCTTTCACAGAACTAAATACCTGCAACTGAATATTCTTCAGATATAAGTGGCCCCTGTTTTTACTTGACTGAATGACCTGTTGTTTCTTAGGGATAAGAATAACAGTACTTGAAAATTAAAAAAAAAGTTGTTCTGTCACACCATGTAAGTGCTTGGGGGGGGGGGGACTTATTGGACAGGAGGTTGTACTTGAAAATTATGGAACAGTATGAAGATTTCTGTCCTCTGGGTCAAAAGCTTAACCGTGGCACTAGATAGGGGTGAGTGGCCAGTGTCATGTGCCCTGGCAGCGCTTTACTCCCGGGAAAGAACCCTGATACCTGTCGGACAAGAGATTGGGTGGGCTGGAGTGCTGGTCTAGATGCAGAGGCTAGAGGAAAAGTCCTCTGTCCCTGCCAGGGATCGAACCCCAGCCGG